AAGGTCCTACATTCCCAGGGCCCTATGTCCCCTAGGTAATATATTCTCAGGGCCCTATGTTCCCAAGGTCCTATGTTCCCAAGATCCTATGTTCCCAGGGCCCTATTTTCCCAAGGTCCTATGTTCCCAAGGTCCTATGTTCCCAAGGCCCTTTGTTACCAGGGCTCTATGTCCCCAAGGTCTATGTTCAAGGTCTTATGGGGCCTTTGTTCGTATGTTTCCAGGGCCCTATTTTCCCAAGGCCGTATGTTCCCAGGGTCCTATGTTCCCAAGGCCCTTTGTTACCAGGGCTCTATGTCCCCAAGGTCTATGGCTGTGGCGTTAAATTAAAATTATTTCCGGGCAAGTTCCGATCCTGAAGTCTGTATTTACGCTGACTCGATCTCTCACCGCTCCAAGCAGTCAATTAAACTAATGCGGTAATGGAACGGCCCTTAAGATGGCATTGAGGATTTCCCCCAAGGAGAAATGGTGAGGGCAAGTTGACGAGGGTCTGCATTAAAATGGAAGGTAATGTTGTCGTTCAGAATGTGCTCAAAGATTTTACTGTTAGCACAACTGCTAACTTTGGAAATGTTTTGCAATACTGGAGTTCTAATGAAATCATGAGTGAAAACACTAATCACTGGTTCTAATTCAATGTTCAATAAAATACGCAAATCACTGAAACATAAAAAGAAATACACACATGGCTATTTGGAAGCAGCACGTCCAAAAACAGATTTTAGTTAGTCTTCAGCCAGTCTTGGTCTTATTTTCCTTGTTGAGGGAACATGATTGATGCAACATGGGGCCATGGGAACATAAAGTGGTAACCTAGAAATTTTGATGGCTGTGCTCGTTTTTGACTTAGCCTGACTCTGGCCGACTTGATGGTCAATGTGAACTGCCAATGACTGCAAGTGTGGAGTATAAAAACACATCAGGTTTGACACATTTTACTTCCCCTAGCATGAGCTCACAACAACGGCTGATCTCGCTGCGTTTCCGTTTTTGTTGTAGATGAAATCGAAGCACTCGAAAGTTTATATCAGACTTTTGACACACATCAAATTAAATCTATGTATTATTAAAACATCTAGGTCAATGGGTCAGGGTGTATGGGGGAAAAAGTCACACATGGCTACCTGCTAGAGCCACACTTTTAGAGAGATTTTTTTTATTATATCTTTGTTTTATTGAGAACCATATATCTGAAAGTAAAGACAAAATTACAAAGGCAACCATATAACCAAGAACATGACAGGAAATTTAAAGAATAAAATAAGACCTACAAGCACATTATTTCTTTTCAATTAACCAACTCCTGAACTAAACTGTTTTTACAGTTTTTTTGCTGGAAATAAATAATATATGTAAAATATGAGGAAATCAAATAAACGGCGTCCCCTTTGGGAGAGAACCAACAGAGATAACGGATCTGAAGTTTTTAGAATAAAAATGTGGCATACGTGACACACATGCCGGAGATTCCAGCCAACGAGGGTGATGTTCTGACATCAGGAAAATGTGTTGTAGCTCGTGCAGCGGATGGAGAGCAATGGCAGCGCCTGACTTCAAAAACTGTAACGGCTTGATTCTGTGAGATTTTAATGTTGTTTGACATGGAGACGTTCTGCAGGGCCGACGAAAGTCAGACATCATTTCTAATCCGCATGCATTGTTTTAAGACCATGGCCAAGAAATTCAGCTTTCAGCGGCTGCATCCGTACAACTAAGTTGACATACTGTCATCTCTAAACATGGACCAAAGTACAGATGAAATTCACCTGCCAAAATGGCAGCTACTACTGTTTTTAGCTATGCAACATGCGCTTCAGCTTTCATTACTTGTTAGCAGAACCAGCATCATAACTCCAGTGCGAATCTAAAGAGTAAACATTAGACACCAGACATATCTTGGTAGACTGACTACATTTGGAAAACTGTGTAAATTAGATTTGTCAGCAAAGTACCACTTTAAGACCAAATTCCAATTAGTCCTCATGAGGAGCAAGGCTTTGTTTCCTCCTGCAGGTCCTTACTGAGGCTTTTTAAGAGCTCATCATTACCGCAACACATCATTATGTCTACTGAGTGAGGCGTCACGGACATTTCTCCACATGTGGCTGATAGATATAAACCAATTACAGAGCACTCATGAACGCTTTCCCCCAGAATGACAACAGAAACTACAGGCCTTGGAAAATAAAGTGGCTCCAAGTTCTAATCATGAGCGGCAGAAACCATTTCAAAGTTTGCAATTGTGAGCTAATCTCCATTTCATTCAGAGACTTGATGTGGTGGCAGGCTACAAAGTTAGTGGAGATGCAGAAGGAAAGAAGCAAGCAGCCTAATTAGTTCAGTTACAGCTTCTAGCTCGCTGCCAGGCATTTAAGGACATGTTCTAGTTTTTAAAAGGGTCATTCTCTCTCTCAGCACTGCAAGCTCAAACCATCACTTCCACCAGCATCCCCAGGCGAAAAGGCAAGAGCAATTTATCACACTGCCTTGTAATGATTCTAGAAAACATCATTCATTTAAAAAAACATATTTGATACAAAATGTGCAGACGTTCGCACAACAGCCCTGAACAAGTGCTGGAGAGAAAAATCAGCTGTTCGGTGAGGCCATGTAAAGGTAAAAGGATTATGATATTATTGTTATGATGTGCATCATCACTATTTGGTCATTCACACTCTCTGTTTTGTCCTTATACACCACTATGCACCACTGTTTACCTATACAGTCAGTAACTGTGAAAGCTTCAGTTGGATGTCTTGTTTTCTGCACTTTGTCATGTTTTTACATTGTGTCAATGTGTAAATATGAAATTAACTGTTTATTTATTACATGTACACAATATCAATTGGGGTTTTTGCTACTTTAGCACCCAAACTTCCTCTCAATAATCAATAAGGTACATCCATCCATCCATCTATCTATCTACCACCCTAAACAATGATATGGGTTCATATCAGTGTTTCTATGGTAGGCTGTCTAATCTTGCTGGTTGAAAGCTGTTTGTCCTCACTGTTTATTCATAATTCCAGTATGAGACACTTAATACACATTGCATGTCAACCTGTTCACCAGTCAAACAAACCAAAACCTCAACCAGCACAAACAAACCCCAACCACTGTCAAAAAAACCTGACAAACCCAAACAAACCTCAACCAACTCTAGCCAACCAACATCACCAAACCTCAAATCAACGCCAACAAATCCCAACCAACCTCAATAAAACCCCAACGTATCCCAACAAACCCCAAATAACCTCAATCAACCCCAACAAACACCAAACTGAGCCAACCCCGACAAATGTCAACCAACCTCAATACATCTCAGCCAACCCCAATAAACCTCAAACAACTTCAACCAACCTCAACCGACAAACCCCAACCAACCTCAAAAAAAAAAACAACAAACCCAAACAAACCTCAACCAGCTCTAACCAACCCCAACAAACGTCACCAAACCTCAAATCAATGCCAACCAACCCCAGTGAACCTCAATAAAACCCCAACATATCCCAACAAACCCCAGCAAACCTCACCTAACTTCAACCGCTCCCAACAAACCTCAAACAACCAAACTGAGCCAACCCCAACAAATGTCAACCAACCCCAACAAACTTCAAGCCTCAACAAACCCAAACTACCTCAGCAAACCCCAATAAATCTCAACCAACTTCAGCCAACCTCAAACCACCCCAACAAACCTCATCAGACCTCAACCACCCCAACAAACTCAACCACTGCCAATAAACCGAAACTCAATCTCAACAAACCTTTAAATCTAAACCAACCCCAAAAAACCCATCCATGCCCAACACCCCCACCCCAGCCAAACAAAGCAGCCAACCCCCAAAAACCCAACAAACTCCAACCTAACCCAAATAAGCCTGACCAACCCCACCAGCTTAACTGCTGCTTAGGAGGAAACTCTGCCTTATCAGGCCAGATTCAGATGAAAACAGAAAGGATACATTGCAGCTCAAGCAGGCGAGTCCACAGGCTACAGCAGATCATGCAAATCCCAGTGCAGTCGTACTAGTCTGAGCATTTACATAGCCAAACAGCAGCAGAGAAGAACACAGCGAGTGGTGTTGTACATATCTATAGCATCTGCTGATGTTTTGTAAACTACACCAATCTAAGATGAAGCCTGGTGTCAGTGGTTAGTCATCACATAATCTGTAAATAAGAGCACATCTACATATTTGGTGCAGATTTGCCCTTTTTCCAAATGTTTCTCTGATAATAGCTGAAAACCACTTTCTTCAGTGAGGTCTAATGTCCTGTATTTGCACACTGAAGCCCACAAACTTGCATTTCAAACAGCTTTGACATGTCCTTAACAGAAAAAAACGACCAAGGAGCCAGACTAATGCTCATTTATGGAAGACTGCACTCCTGATAGGAGCCACAAAGTCGGCATGGGATGGGACACTGCAGCAAGTCCTCCATAAACAGAAAGGACGCGCAGGATGATGGGGGTGATTCTGTTTCTGCTGGCACGCGATCACTCAGCCTACCTGCATTAACACTTAGCTGGTTCAGTTTAATCTGACCTGATATCTCCATGATCAAACTAATAGGGTTCAGGACACAAGAAGGCATGCATGGAGGCTTTCAGTGGGAATTTGAACCAAGACTGCAGGCAGATTGCATTGAGCATGACTCAAAACATTCACAATGAATGAGACCAAGCCAAGCCAAGCCAAGCCAACCATCGGGGTTAGTGTCAAACCACAGCTTTACCCAAATAAAGAAGGCTTTCAATGGGTCTTTAAAGCAAGACTACAGGAATAAAACATGAATATAATATCACTGTGCATAACTGGAGATGTTCACTAACCAGTGCTGAACCACAGCCCTGTTCTGCCAAGGCACCTTTCAGCCTGGTCAAGCACCCATGCAGAAGAACATTGGATCCAGCCTTAGGTTCATTGGACACAGCTTGGAGATCCCACCACGCAGCATAGAGGGCATAGAGGTAATATCCATGCCCTGCTTACCTTCAGAAAGCTCCAGCTCCAGCTCAGCCAGCTTCTCCCGCACCTCAGCCGGCAGTGTCAAAGCCAAGGCGGGCGAAGGCTCCACCATCATCATCATCATCAAGCCGGTAGAGCTGCGCTCAGCCATTCTCGCTTAGACCGCAGCTGGAGATCCAGACCAGCCAAAGGGGCCAACGGCGAGGAATGAGGGGTCCCTTCCCCAGCAGGGCTCAGCTCAGCAGGGCGAGAGAAGGGTGGTGCTTCGCTCTCCCATACAGATGTGTGCGTTCGAGTCTTGCATAGGCTGCTGTGCGTAGCTCTTCAACCAGCTGGAGCAGCCAAAAAAGCGCACAGACGAATCCAGAGCCTCTGTTTTCCAGGTCCTTATTCTCAGCATGAGATTTCCTCTAGAAAAGGAGTGAAAAATCAGCGGAGGTAAAGTCGATCAACTCCTCCACTCCGCCATTGCAGCAGCAGATCCCTGCGATGAGCGTGTTGTTTTTTCCCCACCCGTATTCCGGCAAGCAACGCCCAGCAGCGCAGGGATTGGCTGGCTGTAACCACGCCCCTTGCGCTAGAATTGGCGTTTCTGTGCCCCACCTGTATTCCGACAGGCCACGCCCATCTCCTCTAGGATTGGCTTGTAGAAGCTGGACTCGGGGGTTAGGATTGGCTAGTTGAATCCTTTTGTTTCCCCCACCTGTATTCCGACAAGCCCCGCCTCCTGCGCCGTGATTGGCTCTTACTTCATGCTCAAGCACTCTCCATTGATCATTAGATTACATTACGCAGCGAAAATTGGGCACAGCTGTATCAGTCTAACAAGGCAATATTCACCAACATGCCAATTCAATTAACCCAGATTTCTCTTATTTATATGCACGTGCGATCAGGAATCTTCAATACAGTTAATGAGGATTTCTGTTCACCCCAGGCTCTTTATTTTGAGAGGAATTCCACCTATTTAACACTTTTCTGTATAATTAAATCATTAGGATGTGAACAAAGTCATCCAGAGTGGTTTGGTATGAAATTCCATTCTATAGAAACTTAAAGTCAGAGTTGTTCACAGTGGTGGTGATAGGAACCAGATGTCCACCTCTAAATCTAAACGCTCAAAAGACTCGTGTTGATTCACTGGTGGTTTGGATAGTAAATGAAATGTCTATATTTGTGTTGTAGTCATGGCAACCCCTGGTTCCTATCACCACCACTGTAAAGGCATCTGAGTCTCTACAATCAACCATTTCACACCAAACCACTCTGAATGACTCTGTTTACATCTCAAACACTGAACTATGCAGAAATTTTGAAAATTTAGTGGAATTCCCCTTTAAGTCTAGTAAATTGTCTTGTTTGGTTGAGAGAAAAAAAAACAAACATTTGTCCACATAATGTAAGAGTGGTCAGAAATGCTTCCTAAGAATCTGACAAGCTAGCCTTTCATGTGAACCTTAAAGGAGAATTCCACCCATTTTTCAAAATTCCCCCCATAATTCAGTATTTGAGATGTAAACAGAGTCATTCAGAGTGGTTTAGGGTGAAATAGTTGATTGTAGAGATTCAGATTTCTTTACAGTGGTGGTGATAGGAACCAGGGGTCACCATGACCACAACACAAATATAGACATTTAATTTACTATTTAGTTTATTTATTTACGACTATCCCAAACCACCAGTGAACCCACATGTGTCTTCTGAGCTTTTTTTTTTTGATGGTGAAATAGTGATAAATCTGAAGTAAGTTTTCTTTGGGGACTATTTTTTCCTATAAATGGCTAAAAATACATTTTAGGCCAAAATCTTCCCAATATTTTCATAAACAGTGTCTCAGACATCAGGCAGTGAATTCATAACCATTTAGTGTAGTAACTTTCTGTGAGGGAGCTTTTAGAGGTGGACGTCTGGTTCCTATCACCACCACTGTGAACAGTTCTGACTCAGTAAGTTTCTCTAACCACTCTGAATATCATTCTGAAAATATGCAAAATCAGTGGAGTTCCCCTTTAATATAAATGTGCCATAATATGGAAATATGTATGATATTAATAGTCTTCCCGGTGAATAGTGTGTGTGTGTGTGTGTGTGTGTGTGTGTGTGTGTGTGTGTGCGGTTCTGATTTTAAGCACAACAGCGCCCTCGTGTGGAAATTAAACACTACAGCAACGTCACTCCCCTCCACACTGGACTTCAACACTGAAAATCAGACAACTGGTGCATTTTTTTAAAACTTCTTTTATTCCAATAAATTAATGCTGATATATAAATTGATACAATTATTCAAAGGCAATTCAGTCTGAATCTGTTCATGATCTCATACACAAAAATGTGTACTGACAATAATTCACAATCATGAATTTCATGAAAGGTAGACATTTTTCCTCAGCGTGTGTCTGAGATTGACGTGATACGATGACCGCGGGTTTCTGTGCTTGTGACCGTACACGGCTCGATTCACCTCCATGTGGACGTCTATCAGATTAATCCTCCTGCAGAAACAGAGATATATGATGATTATATCATCCTAAACAATAAACAATTACATAAAAAGTTAATAATTAATCATTAATATCCACTATATGTAGTATGACAGATTATTTATTCCTACTGATTACTGCTAAATCTGATTACTTTGTGTTTTTAGTCCTTAGTGTTTATTGTTTTATATTGTTTTATATTGTTTTTATTGGTTTATTTATTATACTTAATACTTACTTTATATTTATATTTAAAACTATTTTATTATTTCCTGCTTCAAAAGTATTGTATAAACAATTTCTTGTTCTTTGATTAGGATTTTCTGTTTTGTTACATTTGAAAACTACTGTAAAGCTATTTGAGCTACAAGGCAATACACAAGTTGCAATTATTACCATTATTATTATTATTTCAGATATTGTTGTTGTTGTTGTTGTTGTTGTTGTGTATCATTCAAAATGTTCCGATACTGATAGCAGTACCAACACCTTGACTTCGATTTCTGAGCGTTACTTTTCTGACAATTTTTTTTAACATTACAAACTGAAAGTGGGCGTGGCTTGAACTTGAACTGAGTGTCAGGTGCTGGAAGTGTTTTATTTTACTGACCTTAATGGATTACAGACTCTATAAGAAGCAGTGATGTTAATATCATGCATACAGAATGTGTTTTAGACAGCTCAGCCAATCAGCAGTCCAGATTTCGGAAAAAGCATGCTCATTGGCTTATGGGTTCTGTTAAGTCTGACCACTTAGGTACTGAAATTTGGTATTTAATGATACCGAATATTTAGATACTCAGAGCTATAGAAGCTATTCAGTCAGTACTATTAAGGTGTTGAGCTTTATGAAGAGCTTTATGAAAAAAAAGGGGTGGGCGATGTGGGGAAAATATTACATCACGATACTCCAAGATATTTTCACAATACGTGCTATACAACATGATATTTCTTTTTTATTTAATAAGTTGTAACAGACAAAAATAGTTTACCTCTAGTGCCACATATAAAAATACTATAATAATAATAAATCTACAAATACAATGATCTTTACTCAATATTTTACTGAACTGCACTAAATCCTATTAAACAGGCCTATTTATGCTCACTTTGTAATGAAAAATGTAGTCAGTCAGTCTTTAAGTACTGAAGATATCCTCTATATGCTCAGAGGAGCTTATTGTGACATAATTTATCACAATACGGATAAACTATTATCATATTGCCCATCATATTGAGGGAAAGCAAAGTTTTTAAAGTCATATTATTTATAACTTTATTATTTAAACTATTTTAGTATTTCATCCAGCTCCCCCCATGACCCAGAAGGATAAGTGGCTTAGAAAATGTGTTGTTTCATGCTTTAAAGGTATTATATAAACAATTTCTTGTTCTGTGATTAGGATTTTCTGTGCTTTGCATTTGCAAACTACTGTAAAGCAATTTATTATTATTATTGTTGTTGTTGTTGTCATTGTTGCTCATAGTAGCAGTATTTCATCACTGGACTGGGCATCGGTCAAAATGTTCTGATACTGATTCCAGTAACAGAGGTTAGAGAAACAGCTCAACCCAAAAAGCTAATGTTAAGGACAATAAGTGAACATGAACGGCCCACATTCAGCACTTTACCAATGGAAGAATGTTTACAGCCTTACGATGCTCCGCCTACAGTAAATGGTGCGCCTGATCTTTTGCACTCTAGGCTGGTTGCAACTGTCAGGATTTTGTCAGCTGCATTCTGATTGGCTATCCACACGTCCGTGTGAAAGCACGGGTGAGGTTGCGAAAACTTGGGGGGTTGCGAAAACTTCGTCACAGGAAATGGAAGGCAAGAATGGAATTTTATAGGGTGTTCGACTGTAAGGAGGAAAATTCAGTCATTCTATAACTCCATTAAGTAATGGACAGAGAACTTAACTATCCTATTATCTTTGGGTTCAGTTTGACCCCATTCAATGTTTAACACCCCTAAATAAATGATTGTCATCGTTTTTTGCTTAATATTAATGATTTTTCCTCATTTAATGGGGACAACTGGGCAAACATTAAATTAATATGTTAATATGTTTTCAGTGTCCTGAACACAATTTGTACACATCGATGTTCTGTGGCTTATAAAACATAAGAAATATCAACATTGTACACACATTTGTTTTGGTTGTTTTGGTTGATATTAAGTCACTAACACGCAATTTTAATTTCTACACATACATTTTCTAAGCCGCTTATCCTTCTGGGTCGCGGGAGCCTATCCCAGCGGTCACTGGGCGGAAGGCAGGAAACACCCCGGACAGGTCAGTAGTCAATATGCAATTTTATAATGTTCAAAACTTCCCTCCTGTTTAAGAACCATAAACTAACATAACTACATCTGTAGTAGTCCAAGAACCACTGACAGTTCACACCACACGAGGGAGAGGAAAACAGAATTTCCACCAGAACTTTAAGGTTTAAATACTGAGGTTTAAATTGCTGGGGTCAAACTGACCCCAAGTATAAAGGACGTTAGTAAATTTGAAGATAACAGGAGGGTTAAATATGGCATTTTCTGCAAATTTTTGTGCACAATTTCTACGTATATATGAGTTTAACATATTTGAAAAATACATCAAATATAAAATGTGCCATAACTTTTATACAGACTACATTTTATGTTCTAATATTATTTTTTTCCATATGTTAAATGCAGTAAAAAAAATATATATATATATTTATGATGTCCCAAAATATTTGTACATGGCTGAAGGTGCTGAATTCAAAAAAAGTTTTTTTTAAAGGTGTTTATTGCTTGTAAGCGAGGTATCCTCACATTGTTGGATACTGATGTGTTCCCTATGGGTGAGCTTTTCATATTGAAACTTGGCCACGTTCAGGGACGAAACGCACCAGACTCTCTGACAATAGGCAGATGTTCGGCTTGTGAGACTGCCGAGTTAGCGCGTGTGGTCTGGCCACTCCTTTAAGATTTTTCTCCTTTGTATGAATTTACTCCTTCGGAGGCTCGAGGTTTTCTTATGAGAATGCTGTAGTTGTTAGCCGTACCTTCTCTGTCCTTCCTGTAAGGCGTCTCTCAGTGACTGTAAGTAGGCCGAACGGTGGTTGACCATTTCCAGCTGTTGCTCGTCTGTCCAGCAGTGGCTCCAAAACACATCTGCATCTGCTGGAACCACCTCTGGCCTGTAGGGGACAGGCTTGGGCCCGTCTGTCTCCAGCTCTCCAGCTCCATAAGCCCAAAAGTCAGCGCAGCCTCCATACCACTGAGGCCCTGAGACTTCGTAGCCCTGGATGAAGAAGAGTTTGGGTTTTCCTGCCAGACCAGGACAAAAGTTTGGGGTGAAAAGTTGCCGGACGTAGTCCACACTCAACCCTGGACCGTGAGTGTCAGTCCCAAGCAAGTCAGACGAACAGCTCCGGCTGATGATACAGCAGACGAACGCATCTGCCGCATAGTGCTCCCTCTGTTTGGAGATGTTCTGCAGAGTGGACAGCATGTCCTGGACACTCAGCAGACTGTGCAGACTAACGCGGAAGTGAAGTTTTTCAAACACCTGTGCCAGACAGGCTGTAGAGACAGAAAAACAAGGCTTTTAGAGGTGTTGTTGTCATGAGGGTAAAGTAAATCATTATTTAGTAAAATGCTTTACTAAATATAAAATGACTATATACACATTATTTTATCTACATTTTATAAATGGAATTTTATTTTATTTCACTTCAATAAAAAACAGAAAGATGCTTCATTACTTTTCTTGTTTTCTTGTGCATCTTCAGAACAATATCATTCTTCATCACATATAAACTCCACCAAACACCATCATTCTCTGACCAATCACCATAATTCCCCAGCAAACACCAACATTTTCCACATAAAGACTGTCATTCTCCTCTAAACACATCATTGTCCTCCGAACACCATCATTCTTAACCAAACATCATCATTTACCACAAATACAGTGCCACCATTTTCCAACCAAGCTCCATTATTCTCCAACAAACACCACTCTCCATCAAACATCATTAATCTCTAACCAAACACCATCATTCACCACCAAACACCACCATTCTCTTCCAAACACCATCATTCTCCAGCAAACACTGTCATTCTCTTCCAAACACCATCATTCACCACAAATACAGGACCACCATTTTCCAACCAAGCACCATCATTGTCCAACAAACACCATTCTCTTTAAAACATCATTATTCTCTAACCAAACACCATCATACACCATCAAACACATCATTCTCCACCAAACACCATTATTCTCCACCAAACGCAGCAACGCAAACGTAGCAATCACCACAATTCCCCAGCAAACGCCAACATTTTTTTCACATAAACACCGTCTTTCTCCTCTAAACACATAATTTACCACAAATACAGCACCACCATTTTCCAACCAAGCACCATCATTGTCCAACAAACACCATTCTCTATCAAACACCATTATTCTCTCATCAAACATCATCATTCACCACCAAACACCATCTAAATAAAATACTATCATTCCTACAAAAATACCATCATTTCTAAGTGAGCAACAACAAATTCCAACCAAACACCAACATTCTCCACCAAACACCACCCTTCTCCACAAAAACATCATTATTCCCCAAACAAACACCAACATACACCAACAAACACCAACAAATGCCATCACCCTAAAGCTGACTGTCAGTACTAGAGTGTTAGTATTTGTTGGAGAGCGTTGGGTTAATGTTCCATAAATGAACCAGAAAACCAAATGAAATGAAACTCTAGAGACTCACAACAAACAAACAAACACAGGTTCACCGAAAAACAGAACAGCGGCGTCAACCTACTATGAAAGTTTCAGACAGCTTACAGTTTTTTAGAGTAACTCAACCTGAGGGCATGTGTGAACCTTTACTGCCTCAGGCTGAGTTACCTTGAAAAACCTGTGCAGTAAGTTACCCTTAAACACCTCTTCCTTTTACAGCATACTAAACACTATATACAGTGTTTGGGTTGGTTTGTCTGAGAATTATGGGTAAATATTGACATTTCTGAAGACCTTCTAGTGTGTCTCACCTCCTTCAGTTCCCACACAGTCTATGATCACACACACTCCCCTGGGATCACTCTGCATCCTGTACACGTCTTCATGTCTCTGTAGATTAAAGAGAGGTAAAGCACGGTGAGAAGAGGAGCACTGAGGTGAAGCAGCCGGTATCCACAGCTGATATAACAACCACAACACTTCAGCAATAAACGGAACGAGGATCAAACTCAAACTCTGTGTATAAAAGAGTGGTTAAACAAAACGGCCTGAAAAGAAACAAATGTCTCAAAAAGCAGCTTCTGTCTTTACAATGTTCAGCTCCAGTCGTGTTCCTGCTCTGTGCTGTTTTACTCTAGAAAAGAGGCTCAAATCAGTCTTTACCTCCCAGTGTCTGCTGTTTGGGGGTCTCTGTAGAGCTGCAGGACTCGCTGGAAACAAAACAGAGTTTCAAACATTAAACCTTCGAAAGACACATTTGAAAGAGTGAAATATACTCTGGTAAATATCGACCAGCCAAGTCCACCTCCTTGTTTCTACACTCACTGTCCATCTTATCAGCTCCACTGACCATATAGTTTGTAGCTCTACAGTTAAGACTGTAGTCCATCTGTTTCTCTGCATACTTTGTTACCCTGTTCTTCAGTGGTCAGGACCCCCATGGACCCTCACAGAGCAGGTACTATTTGGGTGGTGGATCATTCTCAGCACTGCAGTAACACTGACGTGGTGGTGGTGTGTTAGTGTGTGTTGTGCTGGTCTGAGTGGATCAGACACAGCAGTGCTGCTGGAGTTTTTAAACACCTCAGTGTCACTGCTGGACTGAGAATAGTCCACCACCCAAATAATACCTGCTCTGTGGGGGTCCTGTGGGGGTCCTAAACACTGAAGCACTGTATTCATTGTTATTGTATTTTTTTTTTTATTGTAAACTGCTGCTGCACTCAGCACTTTAACTTTAGACCCATACTTTGCACAATGTAAAGGTTACAGGTATGACTATGTGTGTGTGTGTGTGTGTGATGGTAGGAATGCATGTTTATTTATTTTTTTTGTATTGTATTTTATTTTATTTTATTCAATTCTATTTTATATTTCTTTTATTTTATTTTATTCACTACATGTAAATGTCTGTCTGATACTGTGCACTGTGAGCTCCTGTAACCAAAACCAAATTCCTTGTATGTGTAGGCAAACCTGGCCAATAAAGCTTGATTCTGATTCTGATTTACTGTTGAGTTAAATCAGTGTAACAGTTTACTCAGCCAGGCTCCGCCCCTGTGCTGACATAGTAGGGTGTCCAAACTTTTGCACATGCTACAATTAATATTTTTTCTACGTTTTAAAATAATCAACTATAACTGAGCACTAACATTTCCTTCTATTCACTTCCAACAAAATATGTAATCTGGCCAGATGTGCACTGACCACACAGTTACACAGAGTTTCCTTCACCAGGCAGTGTTTCATACTTATCTTGATTCTTTTACTTTTTCTGTCATTTTCGAGTTTCAAAATAATAATGTATTTAAAGGGGCACTCTGGGAAATTTGTGGTAAATTTTAGCAGTCATAACATCTGTCAAATATGCCCACTCACCTCCTACAGTGAGGCAGCAATAGTCCCGAAACTACGCTTTTGTGTTTATAAGGTGAGGAAAACCCCTTGTTATGGTGAATCTTGAAAGCAGGAGGAACTACAAGAGCTTTGGGGTGGACACACGAGTGCAGGTGCCTTAAAACATGTTCTTATTCCCGCTAGCTGGTTAATTCAAAAGGAAACCTGAGCTATCAATACGGCCAGGAAGCAGAACACTGTATTTATTAACCTCTAGATCAGCGCATTTCTTTATCTCCATGTGGGGGCTGTTTGCACCATGCATGCTGGGTATTGTGGTGAGAGAAGACTGATACAATCGTGAATTCTGTCAAACCTGATACAATGCTGTGCAACAGAATACTGCACAATAATGATCTACATTTGCTGCGTTTTAGGCAGAAATGGTAACAGGTCATTTTACTGTTTTTATTAGATAAAGTTAGATAAATAAATATTAGAAGAGCGAAATGATCATCGATCCAATCTCAATTTCTGCCCGTTCCATTTTTCACAGTGGTATTTCCCCCCTATATGTTAAACTGAGTAAATAAAGAGTAATTGTGTATTAAAATGTGAGAATTGTGTTGTCTTTAGAGGATGCGTTCACTTATTTACACTTAGAAAATCAACAACAACATTAGTCATTCGACCAATTCTTTGCATATGACTACACTATAATCAGAATTAGTAGTAATAATAATGTAAACTAAACTTGGCATTATCTGGATTAGCTTTTAATCAGTTTTTATTTTTCAGGTTCCTTTTAAAGAGTTTTGCCCCTTTTGTATTCGATACACATCACAGAACGTAACATTTTCATATTTAACTGACCGCATCCTCTCTAAACATGTTGGTTCTTGTATTAGACAATGTTTTGTAATAGACGTGTTCTTTGGGAACTCACCACAGGGTCTGGAAAGAACCTGACTTGTACTGCAGGAAGTGGGTGGAATTCCAGTCAAGGTGTTTGGCTGGAGGTAGACAGGAAAGATCATTCATCATAATCATTAAGTAACTCTAACACTGCATTTTTTAAAAACACCATCCAACACTAAATGATTACTCACTGAAGCTGCTGCGAACGCCCGCCGGCCGTCTATCGTCTTCATCGGTGTGGATCTTTGTTCTGGTCTCTCAGCTGTAACACAGTGACATGTTTAAATTTTTTCATACTCGTCCAGACATTTTACGAACTACCAGACATGTTTGTCTCAATATGTATTGAACACTGGCAGCCTGAAAGAGCTACACATGAACCTTTATGAACAAATCAGCGGAAAAACAACTACAAACGGCCGTATGTAAAGGTTTGGGCGCCCCTGGTCAAATGACGTTTTGTTGATTTTCGAAGAGAAAATAAGTTATGGGATGTAACAGAATACAAGTGTTGGGAATATTGCACGGTTAGAAATAAAGGTTCTGTTCTGGTACATTTTTCGTTCATCAAGGTACAAACAGTGTAAATGTTCCCTCAAAGGTACAACAGTGGTTTTAAGGTCTGATTGTGAACCTTAAATAAGTTTTTCCAGGTGAAAAGTTCGTATTTGTACCTTTTCATAACCGAATGTTTTAAACAGAACAGTAAAATAAAAGCCTGGAGGCGAGACGGGGTGTGTGGAGTCAGTACAGCTTAGAACATATCATTTCAGTGGATTATGGTTCAGTTATGTTCCCTGACTAAAGGTACTGAGATGGAGCCTTGAGGGTTCCACCCCAGTGACAAGAGGGGTCCTGCCCCAGTGACAGTTTAGTGCCTTTATTTCTGAGAGTGTAATAAGAAGAATGACTTCTTTACAAACACTGAAATTCCTGAAGCCTGAGTAGACTGATAAATCAGTGTGATGAGTCAGTGCAAGATTTTGTTATTGGGATTATGGGAGCGGCAGTGAGATTGTAAAAGCAGCAGTGGGATTGTGGGAACAGCAGTGGGATTGTGGGAACAGCAGTGGGATTGTGGGAGCAGCAAAATAATGTTGAAAATTTTGTAACTTCATTTAAATGAGTGGATTTTTCATGAAACATATTAACAGAAAAATTACATGAAGAAAACCGCAGATCAGTAACAGCGAGGATTTTCCCACGTGTCTTATCAATATCTAAATGGATTCTATAGAAAAAACACGTCTGAACATTTTAATGCATAATTATTGTTTATTTACAGAATTTACCATATTGGAACACAGTTTCCACCGAGAAAGTGGCCTGTGAAAAAGTTAGGGTACATTTTAGATTTCCAATATGGTAAATTCAGCAAATAAACAGAAAACACAGAAAAATACCATGAGTGAGTTTTCTGTGGAAGAGAGTTATTTCCACTGAGGCAATTATACCACAGTAAAGGAAGTGGAAGTGAATCCTGATTTCTGACGAAACAGTCAGTCATTCATTTGTATGAAGCAGAGAAAGAGAACTGAAAGCTGTTAAGGGACGTGAAATAACAGAGAACAACCCAACACCTCTGATCTAATCTCTTTGTTTCTGACACAGTTCACTGAACTCCAATCACATGATGCACATTTTCTCACACGCGAAACCAGTGACTTTGATGTGAATTTTCCAGTGTGCCTATTTTGATCTGATAAAAGATCTCACAGATGTTCAGAGAGAGAAAGAGATTTTACAAACATTCCAAAGAAAGTGGTCACGGGAACCTTTATTATAGGAATTATAGGTTATAATTATTAGGATTTCTCTCCCACATTTAACCCAATCTAAAGGCAACTGAGCAAGCTTACAAGTGACTAGTGAGAACGTAATGAGAAATTCTGGGCTAAATGCTGGAAATGCTGGTGTGAACACAAGCTCATTAGGGTGGGAACGAACTGTAAAGATTTCTAAAGCAGTCCAAGCAGAGCTCAGTGTAAAGGCAGGGGCATTTTATGGGGAGCCTGGCAACTTCCTGTTTGTCCCATTGACGGAGACTTTGAATAAATATTCCCTTAATCAGTAATCAGATAGATCAGATATTGTAATCAATAACCAATAGGCAGTATTGGCTAACAGAGCATATTAATTCTCTCACAAAGGGAGGCCTTAGTCTGTCTGCATAGGAGATTCTAGATGCTGGAAAGCCCCTGGGTTCACAGACAGGCCTGTGTGTACCTACTGACCCAGTGAAGAGAGGGGTAAGTTGACCTTGAAAGGTAAAGCATGCTGGTAAAAACCTGTTGAAACCAGTTTTTAGGAGTGAGCTCATCATGCGATGACCAGATTGATGGACGAAGAGATGCACCTATTAGAGAATGAGCTGATATCAAAGTTTGAGAAGTGAGGTGGGGGGATATCAAACTACCCCAGATAAACGGTATAAACTGGTGTTTGGGACACTGTATTTGCCCAGTTGGGTCTCTCTGTGCCACTTAATGCTGAAATAAAGAAGAAGCCTTTTTCCCTCTTCCACAAACTCAGCGTCTGAAGACTCTGAAGGGGTGAATGGAGCTAAATTAATAAAAACAAAAATAAACAAGTTTCGAGCCATTTATGCAGGAAAGTCAATTAATTTTTTAACAAATCAATAAAAACTTAACGGTATCATTCTTTTTTCAATCACAAACTGGTTTTGGCCAGCAGGATGCAAACGTTACTGATACTGAGTGCTGATTGGTTGGCATTACTGCTACTGAGCACTGATTGGTTGGCATTACTGCTACTGAGTGCTGACTGGGTACCATTACTGCCACTGAGTGCTGATTGGGTACCATTACTGCTACTTAGTGGTGATTGGTTGGCATTAGCTGATTTTTTAGCATCCCACCTCATAGGAATCACATACTATCCTTCATCCTCCTAGCTTGGTGACATCATGTGATAGAGGGAGACCTAGCTCGTAGGCATTGCGTTTAAAAATACCTTTCATTTTTCGACAAACAGTAAAATGTATTTGCCTTGTGGCCTCATGTAGCCAACGAGCAAAACTTTGTCAATTTTTGTGAGCTTCCCATTATAAACCGATTATTAAATCATTCCCACCTCGGCTCTGGTATTGACTGAGCTTCTTGGCGAGGTCCACTCTGTGGATGGCTCTCAGATATTGCTCCATCACATCCATCCTGCTGCTGGAGATCTGATCCAGCCTCTCCAGCTCAACCACAACGTCCAGGAAACACTGCAGAAATGAAAATGGCCTGATTGTAAAAAGATGCTCTGAATACACAAAACCTATTTACTCAGTGGAATATAGACGACAACTAAGCTTGAAGTGGAGTGTGATAGATTCTAATAGATAAACCCTAAACCTACAACTTCTCCTAAACCAACCCTAAACACATATTGTTAATCATCTATGACCAGAAAGTTTGTTACTAATTAAAGTATCTGTGGATCGTCTTTAGGGGGCTACCACAAGTTTGACCACTGTTTTTTTACATTGTGGTGAGGGTTGTCTGACATTTAGAACAGTTTACCAGAAGGCACTGCTGTTTATTCAGGTCAATACAACCTCGACCCAGAAGGGGAATTTGCTGGTATTATCATAACAGATCACCACCTACATTCATCACACTTTCCATAGCAAACCTAACCGTAATATTTACATTCAGGTAACCCTTTTTTAACACCATGTTGTATTCTACTACATGACCCCACATCCGTATTCGCTCTGAGATATCTGATAGGCTAAATATGGGTGCAGGTGTAAGATTTCCATAAACGTCAGCAGCAGAAGTTCAACTTTAACTGCAATTAAAACTGCTTTTGCTTGTTCTTACGTCAAACTTCTCCACCTTCTCCTTCGGTAAGGTTCCCCTCAGCAGAAATACCAAAGACTCCAAATCCCCCGAGCCCACATCCTCGCTCAGCTCGGCCATCAGCACCCTTTGAGCACAAACACAGAGCACACAAGGTGGTCCTCATATGAAACAGCAGGAGACAGTGAGAGTCACAGTTGACTCCTTGGCATACAAAGGTCGTTCAAAGGTCACATTCTTGTATCTTACTTTTTCTCCTTGAAGTCCACTTATGTTTGTGTGTTTATGTACCAAAAACGTTCAAAATTCATTTTTACATGACCATTTTTTTCAACCTCTCTTTATACCTTCACGTTAAACAGGCAGCTTTCGTTACTGCACCTTTAAGACTGATACATGCAAATGAGCCCGGTCCTGATTGGCTGCCCTGTATTGTGCCTTGTTCAAAAAGCAGTCCGAGCTAAAACATTCCTTATAGCTTCTACATGAGTGGGTGGAGCTGAACTGTAGGCAGATATATGCAAATTCGATTCTTGTGACGTCACAAAAGTAGTGAATTAAAAACAGGCTGTTTTCGCAGCTTAGCTTCTGTATATGGACCGCATGAACTGGGAAGTCAGAGGGACGTTTTGAAAATATAACAATGTTTATATACTACAATATACTATATACTATCACTGTATATCGCTGTTGTCAGAAGAAAACCTCGTATCTCCAAAAATGGTAACTTTACAGGAGAAGGAAAAAACCTACTTTACTTTTAATGTAAGTCAATGGAACCAGACTTTTTTCCAAGTCATTTTGGGTGGTTTCTTTGGATCCATTCATCATGAAATTTAAATACAATGTAAAGGGCAACTGTTATTTTCAAATTATGTCAAAAACTGAAAAACATCAAAAGTAGAGATTTAAGAGTAAAACTTTTATTTAAAAAAATGTGAAGAAAAATTAGTTTTGGCCTTTTTATCTAGTGGAATTATCTTATTCTATAAGCAGAAATGATGCAAACTATATTAAATAGTCTGCTAATATTCTTACAACAATCTCAAAATGAGAAATATGAGATATAGCTACTGGATTTACGGTTTAAGATATAATTTTTGCAGGGTGAAAGATCATGGAAGACAAGAAATTTGTCTTTTAAATGGGGTGATATGACAAATCACACTCACACATGAACTAATACCCTAAAAAAGGGGGTCAAAGTTTGATTTCAGGTTGATGTTCATGCAGTGTTGCTCACCTGTAGTCTGACAGACTGCGTCCGTTTTTCAGAAGCCCCTCGGCCTCGGTCTTAGTGGTGCCCAGGACACATTTCAGTAAATCATAGCGCCTCATCCTCAGCATCAGCTCCATTAAAAACAGGTAATCCATCTCCACCTGGCCCATAAGAGACTGCAGCATTTCTCTGACATCTGCAGCGCGCCGGTCAGCGTCCAGAGCTCCACACAGGTAGGACAGGCGCTTACACTCCTCCGGACTCAACTCCTCCACGATTCGGTTGATCATGTGTGAGAGCTGTGTGGACGCTGACATGCTTTAGCAAACTTTTATTTTTCTGGAAGACAGGAAAAACACAGGATAGAATCAGTGAAGTTTACATAAACAAACCTAAATAAGGCAGAAGGTCAAGTACAAAATGAGTAACGGAGAGAAATTTGGACATATTTATCATGCTGATTCAATGAGTCACTGTAACACTGTGATCTCACAGTCAGAATGAAAGAAAAACTGGGGGGTCCTTTTCTTGGATTTTACCCTTGTGTGGTCTGAATCGGTGGTCTGGTGGACCCACCACATTATTGTTTTTAAATCAATACAGTCATAACAATTTATGTAAAAATACCAGGTGTTTAAAATATTACAAGTGGCCAGCGTAGGGTTCTCCTTTAGCAGCTGTAGCGAGTCAGCATCCTGTCCATGTTGTCCACCCTCACACACACACACAAACACACACACCCACACACACACACACACACACACACACACACACACACACACACTAAAAGCAGGCCATGTAAGAGAACAGAGTGAAGGACACAGCACCTCCACACTTTTACTCCCCGAACAGTGTGAAGACACTGACAAACACCACACAAGGGTCAAAGTACTCATGTTATTCACTGTATGTCTCTGTTTACATTCCAGTAGGAGACGATAAAGACCTTCTCCAGTTACCCTCTTTACAGAAAACATGGAAAGCCCCTTTTCTGTTTTTATACGTTAGAACTGTAAAACTTTTTCAACTTTCACAGCCAAACAGTACACTCATTTAGGGAACATCTGTAAATGTTATTACAAACCAGTTTGATGTATCATTTCACTCTGCCTTCATTAAACAGTTAACTCAATTTAATTTGATCAACACTTCCATCTTGTGCTTTTCGTTTTTATTTTACTGCTTGTAAAGCACTTTGAGCTGCTACAATGTATGAAAAGTGCTCTATAAATAAGGTTATTATTATTATTTTGATATAAAAGCCTTGTTTCAGTAAGGATAAGGGTAAGTAAAGAGCTGGGTGATGTTTGTCAAATAATACTGTCCTCATGGATTATTATGAGTTAGATGAGCATCTGGTCACATTTTAGAAGCCATTCATGCAGATATCCACATAATTCCAAAGGGTTCACAAACTTTTTTACACAGGTACAGGAGAAGGTCAACGTGTCTGGACAAAGTCTAACAATCCAGCATAACATCAAACATTCAATGCAGGTCTAGACTAAACATCTCTCCATATTTCTCATCATCTCTCCTTCAACGTCAGGGAGCCTTTTGAAGCCTGTTATGCTGATCAGAATCAGAATCAGAATCTGAATCTCTTTATTTCACCATTTTACACATACAAGGAGTTTGTCTTAGTGAGTCAAACATGTATGACATCTAACACACTGAACAGACAAGCACACAGACTATTAGCAAGTATTAAACTAAGGGAGAAGTAAAATAGAATAAATTAAATAGAATATAGAATAAATAATAATAATAATAATAATAATAATAATAATAATAATAAGAATAATAATAATATTAAAGAACAGTCAGTGTGAAAGGAGCTCAGAAGATGTATATATGAGATGTGTGTATATCTGTACATATGCAGATATGAATGTCTGTAGGTATGCAGGTCAAGTAGATATGTACTTTAAAATTATACTACAAAAACTATTATATACAAACTGAATATTATAGTCTGTATATAATCAACAATAATATATCCAATATTATCATCAATATTATAGTTACTAATGGGAAAAATCTGGGACCTGGATTGGCTAAATAATACTATACTATACTATATATGACACTCAAAAATATGGTTCTTCAAGGGTTCTTTAGTAAAGAAAATGAACACTCAAAAAAGCACTTTGCTTCATGAAGAGGTTCTTTAGATTGATGGAGAATGTGTTTTATAAGGTTCTATATAGCACCAAAAAGGGGTTTTCTACTGTTACAGGCTTGACATCACAACAACAGGAGAACCCTTTTTGGTGCTATATAGAACACTTTTCAAAAAGTTTCTATACAGAACCATCTACAGCACATTCTACACCAATCTACAACACAATCTACACCAATCTACAGCACAATCTACACCAATCTACAGCACATTCTACATCAATCAAGAAGCATCTAAAGAACACTGAAAGAACCATATATATATATATATATATATATATATATATATTCAAATAAAAAGATACAGAAACACACACACATATATATATATATATATGTTTCTGTATCTTTTTATTTGAATTTACTGAAACGAAATCAACCAAACATGTAAATTACCTTTCGGGGGTAGTTTTTGCATACTAATGTTTCTCTTCCCCAAACTAAGTGTCCCTAAATTTCACACCCCATGACTCACCTCTCCATTTATATTACTAATACCTCACCATCATTATAACCCCAATATGCTGATTACATCATCTTTAAAACACTACAGCGCCACTGTCAAAAAATAAATAAATAAATAATAATAAAAAAAAAAAAATATATATATATATATATATATATATATCTGCACTGCGCTCAGAGAAGCATATAATGACATAGTTCATCACAATGACAGTAAATAACTCCACCACACTGTCCAGCACTAACCTTATTCACACTGAGGTGCACTGAGTAGTCTATTAGTATAATAATAAACTAGTCTAATATCACAGTAAAGCATTAAATAAAGTCCCCACTTAGAGATAAACAGTGCGCCTTACCTTCAGCGTGTGGGCTCAGACGACTGAATGAGCTCAGAGAAAGACTGCCGAGCTGAAGAGGAACTATGGTGATGAAATGGAGAGGAAACCGCTTCCTTTTACGTACTGCGCACGCTTTAGTTTCATTTCGTGTCTTCCTTGTTTCCTATGGAACAAGGGCTGTGTAAATATAGAACACAGGACTTCCTGCAAGCATGACCATAACCAGCCATGAGGACACTGAGGTCTGGACGTCACTAGTTTCGGAAGGGTTTTTTCTCTTCACTTTTCTCCATTCATGAGATTAAAACCGTTATAATAACACAGTGGTCAATTCAGCTTCAGTCCAGCTAATACAGTGGTCAGCGTGCTTCAGTCCAGCTCCAGCAGCTGGTCAGTTTAGGCTACAGGCTCTGTAGTTGGCTATATTAGAGATTAGATGAGAAGTTAAAGTTGAATTTTGTTACCTACACATAATAAAATACAGCTGGCAAGAGAACTTTCACTGTTGACCAGCATAAAGATGGTACAGCATCATGTAGGCAACGTTATTAAGAAATCAGCAGCTACATTAGGCTGTATTTTGCAGTGGTGGACAGTAAAGAAGTAAATGTAATTCGTTTCTGTAGTTAAGTAGTTTTTTGTGTATCTTTACTTAAGGATTTCCATTTTGGGCGACTTTTTACTTTGTTATCTCACTTTTCACTCCGTTATCTCACTTTTCACTCCACTACATTATGAGAAATCTGTCGTTCCTTTATTTTTAATAGGTCATTAATTAGTGACGCTGATGTCTATTAAAATTATTTGATTTAAATCTGTCGTTCCTTTTGCCTGTTTCCTTTAGAATCGACTGTAAAATTTTACTACTTTTTTACTACGTTTTTTCCAATCTCTTAATGATTTATCACCTTCGTACCTTTCTGAGTGCTGATAGATGATGTTCGAGCTTTAAGATCAGCATTTTGATCTGAAGCACATTACTGAAGAACATCCGTCAGGAACTGAACTTCAGTCAGTGTCTCTAAAACAGTTAATATTTCTTTACTTGTTTGCTTTGTTTTTAGTGGATTATTACTATTATTTTTATTTTCTTGTTAGTTGCATTTTTATTGTATTTTTTATTATTTATACTTTTATCCTGTGCTTCTTAATTGTAATTTTATTCATATAATCCCCTTTTCTGCTGTTTATTACTTGTTATTTTAATTGTGATTATCTTTTTCTCTCTTCTTCCTCTGTTGTTTTTACTATGTATTGTGAAACAATTTCAGCTGCATTTTAATGTATGAAAGGTGCCACACACACACACACACACACACACACACACACACACACACACACACACACACACTTCACCGGGAGGACTATGGCACATTTATATTAAAGGGGAATTCCATTGATTTTGCATATTTTCTACCTAATTAGATTGGGTACCATTACTGCTATCACTGGTTTGTGTGTGAATAAAAACGTAACATGTCAAAACGAAAGAAGCGCGAAACAAGAACACCAATCAGGGCTCAGCGCTGTGACGAATCAGACTCAGAAACTGGAGAAGGATCCATCTGCAGATTTAATGACAAAAGGGGCAGTCCAAAACTCGATGTCAATAGGCTCAGCAAAAACAGTGAAATCAGTCCAAAAAGCCAAGCAGAAGAGCAAAAGGGGCAAAAGGCAAAAACAGAAGCCAAAATCAAGCAGAGGTTCAAAATACCAGCAAAACATACCAAACATGCGCTCAGCAGTCAGACACAGGTGAACCGGCAATGCCGCGCACTGACTGGCTGCTTAGGAGGAATATTTAAGGTGTGACTAATTAGGAGATGAGGTACAGGTGGTTACCTGGAGAGTGAGACCTCTGGTGGCTAAACAGTGAGTTGCTGACAAGCGCACTTTGTTTTGTCATACCGACCCAGTGCAGCACACAGTTCAACATCAGTGCAGCAGCGTAAAATCTTGGGAGAGTCTATTCAACATAAATGATGAACTAACCTTTGTGTAAATAGACCACAATATAGAAATATGTACTCATATGCAGTTGTGACTGACGTGTCTTTTTTCTGAATTTACACAAACACATTTCATTTTATAGTAAATTAGTGTTTGCCAGTTTATGTTTATGAACAGAGACCTACAGATGCAGTTTAGTAAAGGAAACTCATTTGTGAACCTGAGTTTAAAGTTTTTATTAAACTTAAACTTGTAAATAAGTTCAAATAAATCTTAAACTGAAACTTTGCTTGTTTGTAAAAAGTGATTTCAGAGCCACTCAGTTCCACCTAATGGAAACTGCCTTCAGTGTTTTGTGCTTATGATAATTTTAATAGACATCAGCGTCACTAATTAATGACGTTCTATTAAAAGACTGGTTTACCAAGAGAGACACTGGAGTATTTTCACCTATAATGAGTTAATGAAGCGAGTCTTGTTACAAAAATGATAACAGGACATCAGAGCCATAATTAATCTTTTAGTACTTTCACTTTTGATACTTAAGTAAATGAAATAAAATCTGCTTGACTTAGTATTGGATAAAAATAAACATATAAATAAATAGTTTAACGATTCCTTAAATAAACAGCTGGAGTCAAATCAGTCTATGGCAGAGTAATAGCAGTTGGAAGAATGGAGGGATGGGGAAGAGACAGAGAAGAAACTGTGGTGTAACACGAATGTTTTGTGGTTGGTTTATTTACTATGAACTGTAGTTCACATTTCTGCAAAATGGACCTCACAAAAATTTTGATCCTAGTTACAAACAACAAACTACAACTTGTGCAAAATGCAGCAGCAAGAATATTAATACAGACCAGAAAACAAGACCATATTAGAGCAGTTTTAGCATCACTGCACTGGCTGCCTGTTTCCTTTAGAATCGACTGTAAAATGTTACTACTTTTTTACTAATTTTCCAATCTCTTAATGATTTATCACCTTCGTACCTTTCTGAGTGCTGATAGATGATGTTCGAGCTTTAAGATCAGCATTTTGATCTGAAGCACATTACTGAAGAACATCCGTCAGGAACTGAACTTCAGTCAGTGTCTCTAAAACAGTTAATATTTCTTTACTTGTTTGCTTTGTTTTTACTGGAATATTATTACTTTTATTTTCTTGTTAGTTGGATTTTTATTGTATTTTTTATTATTTATACTTTTATCCTGTGCTTCTTAATACTCACACACACACACACACTCACACACACACACACTGTCACACAAACACACACTCACACACACACACACTGTCACACAAACACACACACACAAACGCACACTCACACACACACACACTCACACACACACCTACTCACACACATACTCACACACACAAACACACACACACACACTCACACACACACACACTCACTCACACACACACTCACTCACACACACACTCACACACACACTCACTCACACACACACTCACACACACACACTCACACACACACTCACACACTCACTCACACACACACTCACACACACACACACACTCACACACACACTCACACACACACACACTCACACACACACACACACTCACACACAAACACACACTCACACACACACACTGTCACACAAACACACACACACAAACGCACACTCACACACACGCACACTCACACACACACCTACTCACACACATACTCACACACACAAACACACACACACACACACTCACACACACATACACACTCACACACACAAACACACACACACACACTCACACACACATACACACTCACACACACTCACACACACACACACACACACACACACACACTCACACACACACACACACTGTCACACACAAACACACACACACAAACGCACACTCACACACACAAACACACACACACACACATACACACTCACACACACACACAAACACACACTCACACACGCATACACAAATGCACACACACACACAAGTGCGCACACAAACACCCGCACACACGCGCACACACACACACACACAGTAACAATAGCAGAACCCTGTTTTGTTTTGAAAATGGTTCTTCTATTGTAACAAGCTTGATATGGTTCTTCAGAGGGTTTTTAAAAAATGGTTCTATCTAGAACCATGAAAGCAAGGCAAGTTTATTTCTGCAGCACCGTTCGTACACTGCTGTCGTTCAAAGCACTTTACAGATGAGAAAAAACAGAGAATAGAGATGAAAAAATGATTAAAACAATAGATTCAAAAGAGGAAATCATTAACTTAAAGATCCTATTAGAAATTCAATGAACACTCAAAGAACCCTTCGCCTGATTAAAAGGTACACTGTATCGTGAAATGGTTCTTCAGATTGAGGGAGAATGAGCTCTATATGGTTCTACAAAGAACCAGTTTGAAAAGGGTTCTATGTAGCACCCAAAAGTGTTCAGATGTCAGCAATGCAACAGAAAAAAAGACACCAGGAACTACATCCCTGCTGAAAATTAAGCGTTTCTGTTGGTCCTTCATGGTTTTATAGTGTGTTTTGTCTTTTTCAATGGGTTGATATTGTTGTTTCTTAAGTAGCGATGATGTGAAGATGCTGAAGAAGTCTCCGCTGACACCGCATTACTTGCATAAGATGTTTATTACAAAGTAAAACAGTATCACATCAAGCACTATAAAGTGCCTGAGAGAGGATCCGTGCCAATTCTAAAGTGTCCCCTCCAGAACAGAATATCCAGCTGCTTATATAGGGTGCTTGTTGTTGAAAAAGCAAACTGAACATATGGCCCTTTTACATTGATCTCATCTATGTGGAACTAAGAGAGAGACCTTTGGAACAGGGGGCTTTTTAACGTAAACATTCCAAATCCTGCAGGACAGATGATACAGAGGACTTCAGACCTCACCTTATACTTATAGAAGTTTACGAGTGTTTTTACCTTCTTCTATAAAACTATTCTTCTAAATACACCTCAATATCACAGTGTAAAGGGGCCTAATGGCTCAACAGGCAATCAATGACTGATTCTAAATGCGTTTGATGGTGTCCTAAACGGATCTAAAGGTCTTCTACAGGGAACTAGTGGTTTCCGTTACCATGAAGCCAATTCCTGTTAGAAAGCAAAACCATTCTCATGGTCTTCTTTCAGAAGGGAAGTTACTGTCTGAAATGGAGCGTGAATGAGTGAAAAGTAGATCACTGTTCTCACTAATATGGGCCTAATCATGCACTAGAAGACTCTGAAAAGACTCTGAAAAGACTTCGAAAAGGCTAAAGTCTGACACCCTCTCACTGATTTTGCAAAGACTGGGGATCTTGCAGGGTCATTATTTCTTAGACTGCAACTAGATCTTTGGGAATACACCGATCAGGCATATCATTATGACCACCTCCTTGTTTCTACGCTCATTGTCCATTTTATCAGCTCCACTTACTATATAGGTGCACTTTGTAGTTCTACAGTTACAGACTGTAGTCCATCTGTTTCTCTGATACTTTGTTAGCCCCCTTTTACCCTGTTCTTCAGTGGTCAGGACCCCCATGGACCCTCACAGAGCAGGTACTATTTGTGTGGTGGATCATTCTCAGCACTGCAGTAACACTGACGTGGTGGTGGTGTGTTAGTGTGTGTTGTGCTGGTACGAGTGGATCAGACACAGCAGTGCTGCTGGAGTTTTTAAACACCTCAGTGTCACTGCTGGACTGAGAATAGTCCACCAACCAAAAATATCCAGCCTACAGCGTCCTGTGGGCAGCGTCCAGTGACCACTGATGAAGGACTAGAGGATGACCAACACAAACTGCGCAGCAGCAGATGAGCTATCGTCTCTGACTTTACATCTACAAGGTGGACCGACAAGGTAGGAGTGTCTAATAGAGTGGACAGTGAGTGGACACAGTGTTTAAAAACTCCAGCAGCACTGCTGTGTCTGATCCACTCATATGCAGCAAAACACTTTCGGGGCGATGCTGAAACCAAATACATGCTTGATGAAATGAAGGATTTAAATATTCTTCATCTTCTAAATGATGTTTGTTCATATTTTCAGGAAAAGAGGCTCAATGTTTAAAAAAAAAGCCACAGCATGAAGTTATGTTTACGTCACGTCTTCTTCTGTGAGTTTCCCCATTATCTGATTACTCAAGTGCATGCAAATGCGTTGATCGTATCACTGACAAAATCTGATTTTCTGTAGTTATCGGATTATTAAGTGCATGTAAACACGCTCAGTGAAATTGCCTGAAAAGTCGTTTGGTGTAATGCCGGCATAACATGCTTTTGTGCAAGAGGAGAAGCCAACTTACTCGGTATGGTGTAACATGGATATTTCGGGGGCTTAAGCAGGTTTAAGTAGACTGTGCTTTTAGTCACGTTCTCATAGCGAGAGAACTCTTCATCTGTTCTCAAGATCCACCCTGTTTCATACCATAAACAGTTTTTCTTGTATTTCTGATTACTGAATTGTGAGTATAAGTTATGGAAATTCACTATAATATTTTCCTCTTGGTGGCTGTAAAGCAGATAGACAACTCACAGTGAGCCAGGCAAGTGCAGCCTCCACACGTTGGGATCAGCTTTAACAGTCGAAAAACTACGCCTCCTACAGTTAAATGGGAGAACTCCATGTCCCCCCAAATAAATTCAATACTGTTCATTCTTCTTAGGCTTTTGAGCAGATTCATCAAAACATACTATAAACATTCTTCTAGTTTGTGGTCAAAAATAAATGCCCCAGGGTTTGACAGCCTCTTTCACTGATCTACAGGTTGAAACATTAATATGGCTCAAATGACATAGAACTGTATTAAATTGTGCTGAACTGAAATTGTGTTTTGCATCAACTTACCAGACTTTTTAACAACCATCAACACAGCCCTCAATCTGTTACATGTAAACATGTATGGGGTTAGTTTTACATTTGCACCCTGCTGCTTTTAGCTAAACTGTTCATAACCTGTAGGTGCTCAAAATACAAGTTTGTTTTCAAATATAGCAGAGACGTGCAAATTACTTCTTTAAAAAAAATTAATAATCCCACCAAATAATATTAAAATGATTAAGCCAAACCTGACATATTAGGTTGTGCTGTACTCTCCTCTACCCTTAGAGTTAGCCTTGTTGTTAATTCTTGGTTGATGAATATACAGAAATGACAAAATAACTACTATTAGTGATCCTTCATGGAAACATGCTAAAATTTACTAATTTGTTGTTTAGGTCAAATGAAAATATGTCTAGTTATGACTTTAAGGATCATCTGAAAACATGAAATATAAAGGGTGAGTCAAAAAGATTCATCCGATTTAAAAGCACCATATTTTTGTACAACCGTGAGGCGCCTAGGAACCAATCACATACCGGTTGACAGAGGGGGTCATAGTTTCTGGCTGTCAGTGGAAGATGGCTCCCTTCAGTCTGAGAGGAGATGAGACCCCTGAGCAGAAAGCGTCCTGCGTTCTCCACTTCAATAAGAGTGAATCCGTCATAACTGTGCAGTGTGATTGTCGTTCCACAACACTGGATGATCTACGAAATCGCACTGAAAGAGCCGTGAGTGCAGCGACACCCGACATGCTCAATCCAGTATGGGATGAATTTGACTACGGTGTTGATGTCTGTACTGCTGGAGGAGGTTCATATTGAGACCTTGTACAATTACATAATAAACTTTATGCTCATTTAAACCATTTACAGTTTACTGCATTGTTCTGTAATGATTTACAAGTAAAATCACTTTGAAATCGGACGAATCTTTTTGACTCACCCTGTACTTTTGTCTATATTAAAAAAAAAAAAAACACACAACAGTGGCACTCACTCATTGGTCACAAAAAATTTTAGTCGACCCACTTCACTCAATAACGTATTATGTTTATTATTCAATCAGCCAAAATCTGTCACAGAATAACAGGTGAGTATTATATAGAAGGACAAGAACCAGCTTAGTAGCCTGGAAGGAAAATAAGAGTCCGATGGTATGTGGCTCTTCTGGGTTTGGGCTCTTTGGGCCTTTGAAGTTGAAGCTGCCCTCAGTGATCAGATTTCTTCGGAGGGAAGAAAGCGTACTCCACAGCGAGAGCCACCGCAAACGCAATGAATCCTCCTTTAAATCCACGCATCAGCACATCCTTGAAGGTGACAGGGTTGCCAAAGCTGCCTGTATACCTCCATGCCTCGTTTCTGAAAAAGACAAAAGAGCAGGTTGAAATGGACAACGTGCTTTATTCAGCATTACAACTCCACTTTAGCACATCATTGATTTCCACAAATGTTACACACACACACACACACACACACACACACACACACACACACACACAAACACACACACACTACATGTCCAAAAGTCTGTAGACTCCTGCTCATCCAGCGTTTCTTCTGAAATGAAGGGTATTAATAGTGAGTTTGTCCCTCTTTGCTGCAGTAACAGCCTCTACTCTTCTGGGAAGGCTTTACACTAGAGGTTGGAACATTGCTGTGAGGATTTGATTGAGCATTAGTGAGGTCAGGTACTGATGTTGGATGGTTCTAGGTCTCTAACTCATCCTGAAGTTATTGGATGGAGCTCCATTACTCCAGAGAATGCAGCTCCACTTCTTGCCTGGCATTGGGCAATGTGACCCTTACAACCTTGACACACCAAACCACTGGCTGTAGTCGGCCCTCGTCAGCACTTTTTTTTGCCAACTGAGCCTGTTGAATTGATGTCAGCAGTCGGCCGCGCGAGAGAGAGAGATGTGAATCAGGAGCAAACCGCACCCTCAAGAGAGCACACTCAGAAAATATGACTTTTTCTCACCAGTGCAAACAGCAAAGTAGCAAGAAGTCTGAACTTTGTCATCATTATTTGTTCTTTTTTTATCCACTCAGCACCACAAACAGTGGTTTACTTTCACAGTGTCTTTTTTAGCTTCAACATGGACATTCGAAGCTTATAAGACATTCAAACAAAACAAGCCAATGCAACCATACTTTGTATGCTTCAGTGAGACTATGGCAGCTCCGGCTACAGAGAGTTGCTCTTTTTCACACAGGTGCATTAACTATGGCCGTCAGCTATAGCTTTTGTAATGTGCTCTGGTACAATTTCTCACCAGAGGCAAGAGGCGGCTAGGAGCTGACGGAGGGTAATAATCAGCTGACTTTAACTGGTGCTAGTTCTGCCTCATTGGCTTGGTGCGTTTGGGCACTCAGGCTCACATGCAGCTGCTCCCGAGCGTCCCTTTCTATTAATCAAAGCTTTTCCTAAGGAGACACACCTTAAAGTCTTTTCTTTTTTTTTTATTTTCTCCCCGATTTAGTCGTTTCCAACTCTACCCACTAGTTAGGACTCCTCCAATCACACGATACCACCAGCACTAGGACGGTGAAGGCTAGCACAGGCTTCCTCCGAGACTTCCTCCTGACGCAAAGTCACTGGGCAGCTAAACAAGCTTGGAGCGCCAATCACCAGTTCTGTTACGTCAGCTAACAGACGCCTGCACTGGCTAGCACTGCGCTAAGTGAAGGGGGGAGACAGGGAGGCATTCTACCCACCCAGAGAGTGAGGCCAATTGTGCTCTCTTGGACTTCCGGCCATGGACGGCTGTAGCATCACCAGGGATCGAACTCGCGATCTCCTGACGGTAGGGCCAACGCTTAGACGACTGCGCCACTCAGGTGCCCCCTAAAGTAGCCTCTTAAACAGTGTTGGGCAAACTGTGGCCAAAAAATCAGCACAAAATGAGCTACTACGAAATTATTCCAGCATGTTCAAAATCAAATGAGCAGCCAAGAATGGCACCCAGATCACATCCATATTGTGCTTTTCAGAACCCAAAAGAACCCAAAAACCCTCTCTCATGCAAGTGCACTATCCAAAACCCGCCTTACCGTGCCCAGGGGTCCCTCAGTCCTCTTCGTGCCAGCCGCTGTTGGGTTGCCTCCAGTGGTGTCCCTTCCCACTTCCAGACTTTGTAGTCCGGCATGGACAACTTGCTGTGCCCGTGATCCCCACCCATTTCTGCTTTTAAAAGAGGGACGAAGAGAGAAAGAAAAACAATATAAATAAAATGTAAAATGTGTTAAATACAGTGCACTTTTTCTCATATTAATGACTGAACTTGAACTAAACGATTAACGTTTAGATCCAGCACCAACAGAGGTGTGCAGTTAAATGAAGATGCTTTGGGTTTAGCAGGACATCTCAAAACTGACCAGTCCTGAACAGACATTCTGAAGCTCAATCATTTACACAAGAACTCAGCTTTGTGCTACAAACCCACTGAAAACCTTTAAGACAGGTCTGAGCCAGAGGTGTGGCTCACAAAATAAAACCTCCTTAGTGAGAGAGCTACTAACATGCAGCCATACTGCTCTTATTTCATCTATAACTGGTCTGTTCGACACATTATACAGCTAGACAGCGAACCAGCTACTAAAATGATCTCCTGGATTCATTCAAAAGCCAATGCAACCAGCTGGCTACATGTACACTGGCATGGCACAAACTACTGAACAGAAAACTTAAATTAAATTCCAAAGAGTTAATTGTTTTAAGTAACTGTGGAGAGGGGGGCGTGGCCGAGCGTCGAATGCGGGACGGAGAAGCCGGTCTGGCTGAACCAGCGGGCTAAGTAGCTGATAATGTTCACCCGTGCCTTGTTTCTGCCAGCCTACTCATAGCCATCGCTTCCTTCAGTAGGTGGCAGAGCCCAGAGAGAGAAGGAGACCACTGAAGGCGTGAGAATAGGAAGTGAAAAGAAAGGGCTGAAAAGTCCCAGCGAGCGTCTTGTCTCACTTTCTGGGCTGAAAAGCCGGTTATTTTTTGCGTTATGTATAAGTGCTCTCCGTCTTCACACCTGCCCCCGGCGTCTTTCCCCCTCCCACCGTTAAAGTCGTCCACAGTAATTAGTCTGTTTTTCTCATGGTCCCACCAGAGACAGCCGATGAGTTCCTACTATCGGAAGACACTTGGTTCCAATAAGCATCCAAAGAGAGAAAAGTACAGGGTGACAATATGTCCTCTTTTTCCAGGACATTTCTTCCTTTTGGGCCATAAAATTGTCTCTAACTGGGATTTCTAAATTGTCTAAAATGTTTGGGTTTGCTTTCATGTAGACATTTGCTTCTTTCTATAGTCTGCCCCGTGCTGCTCTCCTGCCCCCCCCACTGCCCTCCTTTTCGAAAACCAAAATACGGTCACCCTAAAAAAGTGGAACACAGCACAAACATTCTGAAACGTTTAATGTGGAAAAAGCTTAAAGTGGTTTAACGTGCAGAAATAACAACCTATGAAAATCAATTTCCCTCACATATTATTAATCATATGCCAATGAAACAAAACTGTAATCCAAGGACAAAGCAATAATTTTTACATTAAAATTTTTTTTAATCTCTTCTTCTTTAAAATGCATAATATGGACAACTTCAGAGGATAAAACCAACTACTTAAATGGATAACACTACATATCGTCGCTGTCCAATGAAAAACATGTATCTCCATTTTTTTGCGAGTTTTACTTTTCTGCATCATTTGAGCTCAGCTGTCCTTTACACTGTGTGAAAATCTCAAGAGGACTGGATCAATAGAAATGGTCCAAAATTGCTTAGAATAAAAACCTTTTCTATTAACTTACTTTGAAAGTAAAGAAGGTTTTTGCCCTCTCCTGTAAAGTTACTATTTTGGAGATACTTGTTTTTCATTGCACAGCGACGATATATATTTCTATAGTACCTCCAAATTTAGAATGTCCGCAAACTTAAGCCATAAAATAACATTTTCAGTATTTTAGGCTTTTGAGGCTTTAAAAATACTACGAAAGATGAAACAATCTGGAGGAATTTTCACCTTGATGTCCCAAATTTAAATTTAACAATAAAACATACTAAAGACACTAAAGCTGCAAGGCTGCTGGTAAATAGCAAATGTAATATAGACTGTTGTTGTAACATTGATGAACTGAAAAACTGAATAATAAAACCCCAGGTTGCTATCAATGATAACATCCCCTTTAATTTAAACGTTAATGGTTAGGACAATAATCTAAAAGTTAACCTTAGAGTTTCTTATTCGCCAGCTTCTTGTTCGAATTTCTCCGTTCCACCTTAAATGGTACAGCAGTTACATTAGAGTGCTTGAGGCATCAGAATGGAACTACTGCACCATTTAAGGTGGAACGAGAAAATTCGAATAAGTAGCTGGCGAATAAGAAGCCAATATCAGCCTCGTGTTTTCTGAGTCGTTTCTAACTGTACGCCACAAATGCTGGTTTCTGCTGAATAATAAACCCTATTACAGCGTTTACAGGAGCGTTTTTAAGCTTTAGTGATGAAAAATATCGATATTTGCGACCAAACTCGACCTTAGTCACTGCAAACCCGCTAATACTGATGATTTTACTGCTCTTTTAACAACATCAACACCAGCTCAACTGTGGTGAAGTAAGCTGCATCTGTAAACCCTAATCTGTGTTTTTATTCCCGTAAAATTGTTAAATTTATAAATATATTTACCGAAAACAAAACCCACTCTGTGACCTCCAGCAGCTTCCGGCAGATGAAGCCCTCTTTAGACTCGGCGAGAGAAATTTTCCAAATTAAAAGTCTCGCTTAAATTATTTGCATTATGTTTGTGACTTTTACACTAATATTACGTGACCCTCGTTTTCCCTACAACATGCATTTTTATCTCGCATACGTTCAGCGTTTTCTTCACATTTTATATGTTTTATATTTCGGCGTGAAATTAAAATAGATTAAAAAATAAATAAATAAACCTGCGACCGTTTTCTGGTGGGTAACAGAAACAAGGAGCATAAAAAAAGGTTCCGCTTTTCATCTCATTCTGTGCCGGGCAAAAACCCAACAAGCAAAAAGCCTTTATTTAAAAATAATATATGAAACATTTAATAAGAGGAATAAAAAACATTTATTCGTGGTACACGCAATTCGATAGAGGCGCACGACTGACAGGTGTATGTATACATAAAATAAGGTCTACTGAGTCTAATGAGGGTCCTCTTAAGCATTAGATTCTGTGTTTGGTGTACGCTGTACAAAGTGCATGTTAGTAGTTAATAACATGTAAAATATCGAATATTTTATCAGATTATTGTTTCATCAACATGGGCTTATCCTGCAATGAGCAAACTGTCCAGCAGATGTCGCTATATCATTTCCAACACTGATCTTTTTTTTTCGTTTAAATCAAAAGGCAAAAGGTTAAGATTAAGGCCTGTGAGAGCATACATTGACAGTGCTCTGGGATACTAAGCACACAAATAAATAAATAAATAAATGACAAAGCAAAGCATCTTTATAAAAATGTCACAATTCATAAAACACTCTAAAAGTCTCCTGGCATTCTTACTTACTATTTTCTTAAGGGATGTATAAGCGCAATTAATTCTTAAGAGCTGAAAATTAGTTTGTTTTTTTTATCTCTCCACTCAGGAGCAGAGGAACTGTGCTCTCTGGAGTGATGGAGCTCCATCCAGTACCTTTGGGATGAGTTGTGGTGATCCAGAACTGACCATCCAACATCAGTACCTGACCTCACTAATGCTCAATTAAATCCTCACAGTAATGTTCCAACATCTAGTGTAAAGCCTTCCCAGAAGAGCAGAGGCTGTTACTGCAACAAAGAGGGACAAACTCACTATTAATAAGATTTTTCAAAAATTCTCCATAATTCAGTGGGAACAGAGTGATTCAGAGTGGTTTGGTGTGAAATGGTTCAGATGTCTTTACAGTGGTGGTGATAGGAACCAGGGGTCGCCATGACTACAACACAGATATAGACATTTTATTTACTATCCAAACCCACCAGTGAACCTACACGAGTCTTCTGAGTTTGTATGGAATGTTGATGATGGAAAATAGTGATAAATATGAAAAAATATTTTTTGGGGGGGGGAATATTTGGCCTCACAGCGCCCTGCATGTATATCTCTATCATTGATGGAAAAATGAGGCCAAAAGTTTCTCAAAACTACGATAAAACAGTGTCTCAGACGTCAGGCAGTGAATTCATAGCCATTTCATGTAATAACATTGTGCGAGGGAGCTTTTAGAAGGATGACACTCCTCAGACGTCTGGTTACCATCACCACCACTGTGAATCAAACCAGCCTGAATGACCTTATTTACATCCTAACAACTTAATCATACAGTGGAATTCACCTTCAATAACCATGGTGTCAGAGGAAACGTTGGAGCAGGTGTCTAGAAACTTCTACACATGCAGTCATGTACAAAAGTTTGGGCACCCCAGTCAAATTATTGTGTAAATTATTGTGTTGATGATTCTTTGAGTGTAAATAAGTGAACACATCCTCTACAGAGAAAGAGAACACACTTCTGCACACTTTAATACACACACCGAATTTAACATACTGGAAAAATATAAAATGTGGCCTGTGCAAAAGCTTTAGTACATCTGACATATCGCTGCTGTCGGAACAAAACCTCGTATCTCCATTTTTGTCGTTTTCAGTTTTTTACATAATGTGAAAATGCCTGTTGTCCTTTACATTGTATGAAAATTTCAGAATGAATTGACCGAAAAGAAACGACCCAAAATGACTTAGAAAAATATCCGGTTCCATTGACTTACATTAAAAGTAAAGCAATGTTTTCCTTCTACTGTACAGTTAATATTTTGGTAGGTTTTCTTCTGACAACAGCGATATATTTTTCAACTCAGAAAAAAAAGAAAAAGAAAACATTTGAATTTGTGTTCTAATAATTCCAGAAAAATGAAAAACTACATACATCATCTAAACCGCTTATCCTTCTGGGTCGCGGTGGGGTGCTGGAGCCTATCCCAGCTGTCATTGGGCAGAAGGCAGGATACATCCTGGACAGGTCGCCAGTCCATCACAGGGCAGACAAACAGATTCACACACACATCCACACCTAGGGGCAATTTAGCATGTCCTATTAGCTTAACTGCATGTTTTTGGACTGTGGGAGGAAACCCACTCAGACACGGGGAGAACAGGCAAACTCCACACAGAAATGACCCTGGTCACCCGGCCGGGAATCAAACCCAGGCCATTCTTGCTGTGAAGCGACAGCGCAACCCACTGCACCACCGTGCCGCCCATGAACACGTACATTTTAAGTTAGTTTCCTGTGGAGGAGGTGTTAACTTCTTAACTTATGTTATTTTACCCACTAACAAAACATACAGCCTTCCCAGAACAGTCAGAGCTCGCTGTGGAAAACTCCCCAGTGACTTCTTTAAAGTAGTGTTACCGTCATGAGCGTAACTTTGTTTTGATAAGTGCTTGTGAACTTAAAATATAAGACAAATTAGTCAAGTTGTTTCCAAATAAAACACAAGGACTTTTCCCACATCAGGCTGGAGTCACTTTTGTCTTGATAATCCTGGAAGGTCCATGTAGGGGAGAGCAGAGCACAACCTAACACATAATAATTTAAAAAATACATACATACATACAAAATCTAAACCGCTTATCCTTCTGGGTCACGGTGGGGTGCTGGAGCCTATCCCAGCTGTCATTGGGCGGAAGGCAGGATACACCCTGGACAGGTCGCCAGTCCATCACAGGGCAATTTAAAAAATATTTAAGTTGAAATAATCATATGTTCATCCAAGCATCATAAACTTCTCTGCTACAAACAAACATTTGGACTTTGTTTCTATTACCTGTTCATGTACAATTCCACCCAAAATGAGGGAAGTGCAGTGGTCCAGTTTCGCCCTTGGGTGGGTTCACTGTAACAGACAGAGGGTCAGTTTAACACCTGATAGAAGAGTCTGATCAATCAGTGCAAACAGAGTTAATTCAATATAATTCTATGCTGTAAGAAACAGAGATATTTTCCAGCTGTACTGCATTATATACTATCATCTAAAAGACAGACAGACCAATCAATCGATAGATACACACATCAAATTACATATGAAAACTGACATGAGACTGTGCATCAAACACACACACACACCATCCCAGCTGTCACTGGGTGGAAAGCACCCTGCACAGGTCACCAGTCCATCGCAGGGTGGACAGACAGACAGACATAAACACCCACACACACACTCACACCTAGGGGCAATTTAGCATGTTCAATCGGCCTGACTGCATGTCTTTGGACTGTGGGAGGAAACCGGAGAACCCACGCAGACACGGGGAGAACATGCAGACTCCACACAGAAATTACCCTGATCACCTGACTGGGAATCGAACCCAGGCCCTTCTTACTGTGAGGCGACAGCAAATAAGAACATCACACATCAGGAAATATGAACACTGTTTCTGAATAACTACAGCTTTACCAACTGTTAATGTCAACTTCATTAATATACTTAATTAAAGTCAAAATACTGACATCTGAAAGACTCTAATAAAGCAGAAGGAAATCCCAAACGGATCAAAAAGCGGAACAAAAAGCCAAATGTACTCTATTAGTCTTTGTTTACTAAAGGTGTCTGAGCTGTAATGCTGTATAAGATCTAACCCCGCAGTACGGAGGCTGTACTGAAGCCTAACTAGCACTTGCTGTGAGCTTATCAGCTGCTTCAAACGGTGCTGCGCTGTAGGAAACAAGATTAAAGTAATATAAGGTTGGATTTTGTGATTCACACAAACAGCTCAGTAACCAGAAAAATGACTTACATGCTCTGAAAACACTCTTTGGCTCAGATCTCTTTAAAACGCTGACGAATCGCTGGGAATTTTGGTGGGGAACCGCGGCTAGGAAATGTGGTAATGTGGCCAGAAGCTCACACTGCTTGACCTTGTATAACAATGTAAAAAGTGTGTGTTAAATTGAGCCCTGCGTTAGGTTGTTCCCCACACTCCCCCACTGCACAGATGAATGTCTTCCCCACTAAAAGATGCCTGATTCATCTCATCAGCCATGATCAGGTTGAATCAGGTGCATAAGAGGAGGGAAATCACTGACCAGCACTTTGGCCTGCCGTGATTGGAGTTTGAGGGCCTTTGGTCAGTGTGACCCATAGCGCACACTGCTTTGTGAAAATGACGAAAACTTTGAGTCGTGCTGTCTTTATTCTGTTTTCCGCGAGGACCTATAAGCCAAGTCTTATGTAGAATTCTACATCTCGCCTATGTTACGCCGTATTTCGGATGAGATGGCCTGTTTTACAGTAATGACCGGCATTTTTCATCACCAGGATACAGCCCGCTGAAAACCGGCCAGTAAAATGACTCGGTTGCTATGACATGGCCATGAAGAGACAGGCCGAAACCTCGCTACCCGCCCTGAGTGCTGGTGTCTGTGTTGTTTATGTGTCTAAAGATCACGCACCAAGCATTTAAGCACATTTTATAGTTCCTGGAAAGCTAGTAATAGATGAGCGGACTGTACTGTTTTACAGGGTCAGACTGTAAGCAGGAGCTGCTGGAGACCAGAAGCCATTTATTCTGATATAATTTATTTAACATCTCCTAGAATCTCAGTGGAGCAGAAAGCAGAGTTCCCACAAGGACAAGGTCTTCTCCAGGTAGAGGCCTTATGTGGAGAATCCTCGCTTAGAAAGGCATATTTTGTGATTGACCTTTTATTGCATTCTACATTAAATTTTACAACAAGGGTGGTGAAAGGTAGGGGGGT